TTAAGCCTGCCCATAATGCTCTGTATACTTTGTACATCTGTATTTGGACATCTATGTATCATGTCCAAATAAATAAATAAATAAATAAATAAATGCATCTGAAATACTGGATCGTAACACGTATATATACGACCAAAACAGTCAAAGGGTTAATGCTCACCTGACGGCAGCATCAAGTGCTGCTGTTTGCAGAAGCATTGCCAATATACCTTTTTTCTCATTTTTATATTATTTTATATAATTTTTATGTTCTGATAATTACAATTTATAGTAGTTCTTGTCATTTCATAACCAATCTTTGTTCTGACACTAATATTAGGTACTGAAATTGTACTCAAATTGTCACAAACACACTGACAAGTAGACATTTACACCTGCCTTGGTCATTTACTATTGTCTAGGAATATATACAAAGTATTTATAGGTCCTAGCAATGTTTTGGATACATGAGAGTATAGAAGAAGCAGCAGAGGGGAGTATAGCAGCAGCGGTGGCTGCAAGTGTGGCTGCAGCTGCTGCTGTTGTTGTGCCCTTGAAGCATGATGTAAAACAAATGTCAGTGAAAAGTGTCTGCAAGGGTGCAGTGATGAGATGCGGGGTGACATTTGATGAGCCCACATGAGGGTGCAATAATAAGATGAGATAAGGGGTGACATGTGATGAGCACCAGCAAGGGTGCAGTGATAAGATGAGATAAGGGATGATATTTGATGAGTGTTGGCATCTGTCTCTCTGCTTATCTGTCTGTCTGTCTGCTTGTCTCTCTTTCCATCTCTCTGCTTGTCTCTCTGTCTCTGAAAGAGCCACTGTGAACCAACGGGTATTCTTAAGCATTATATCTAGAAGCACAGTATAGCACTTTGGATTTTTTAGGTTATCCTAGGTAATTTATACAATGTATATTTATATTTGTGTGTACCTGTGAGACAGAGATAGACAGAGACAGACATAGATAAAGACAGACAGACATATGGAGATAGAGCCAGCCAGCCACCCAGCCAACCAGCTGAACACTTATTATTTTTTTTTTTTTTTATTATCACACTGGCCGATTCCCACCAAGGCAGGGTGGCCCGAAAAAGAAAAACTTTCACCATCATTCACTCCATCACTGTCTTGCCAGAAGGGTGCTTTACACTACAGTTTTTAAATTGCAACATTAACACCCCTCCTTCAGAGTGCAGGCACTGTACTTCCCATCTCCAGGACTCAAGTCCGGCCTGCCGGTTTCCCTGAATCCCTTCATAAATGTTACTTTGCTCACACTCCAACAGCACGTCAAGTATTAAAAACCATTTGTCTCCATTCACTCCTATCAAACACGCTCATGCATGCCTGCTGGAAGTCCAAGCCCCTCGCACACAAAACCTCCTTTACCCCCTCCCTCCAACCTTTCCTAGGCCGACCCCTACCCCGCCTTCCTTCCACTACAGACTGATACACTCTTGAAGTCATTCTGTTTCGCTCCATTCTCTCTACATGTCCGAACCACCTCAACAACCCTTCCTCAGCCCTCTGGACAACAGTTTTGGTAATCCCGCACCTCCTCCTAACTTCCAAACTACGAATTCTCTGCATTATATTCACACCACACATTGCCCTCAGACATGACATCTCACTGCCTCCAGCCTTCTCCTCGCTGCAACATTCATCACCCACGCTTCACACCCATATAGAGCGTTGGTAAAACTATACTCTCATACATTCTCCTCTTTGCCTCCAAGGACAAAGTTCTTTGTCTCCACAGACTCCAAAGTGCACCACTCACTCTTTTTCCTCATCAATTCTATGATTCACCTTATCTTTCATAGACCCATCCGCTGACACGTCCACTCCCAAATATCTGAATACGTTCACTCCTCCATACTCTCTCCCTCCAATCTGATATTCAATCTTTTCATCACTAATCTTTTTGTTATCCTCTTTCCTGTATTCACCTTTAATTTTTTCTTTGCACACCCTACCAAATTCATCCACCAATCTCTGCAACTTCTCTTCAGAATCTCCCAAGAGCACAGTGTCATCAGCAAAGAGCAGCTGTGACAACTCCCACTTTGTGTGTGATTCTTTATCTTTTAACTCCACGCCTCTTGCCAAGACCCTCGCATTTACTTCTCTTACAACCCCATCTATAAATATATTAACAACCACGGTGACATCACACATCCTTGTCTAAGGCCTACTTTTACTGGAAAAAATTTCCCTCTTTCCTACATACTCTAACTTGAGCCTCACTATCCTCGTAAAAACTTTTCACTGCTTTCAGTAACCTACCTCCTACACCATACACTTGCAACATCTGCCACATTGCCCCCCTATCCACCCTGTCATACGCCTTTTCCAAATCCATAATGCCACAAAGACCTCTTTAGCCTTATCTAAATACTGTTCACTTATATGTTTTCACTGTAAACACCTGGTCCACACACCCCCTACCTTTCCTAAAGCCTCCTTGTTCATCTGCTATCCTATTCTCCGTCTTACTCTTAATTCTTTCAATTATAACTCTCCATACACTTTACCAGGTACACTCAACAGACTTATCCCCCTATAATTTTTGCACTCTCTTTTATCCCTTTGCCTTTATACAAAGGAACTATGCATGCTCTCTGCCAATCCCTAGGTACCTTACCCTCTTCCATACATTTATTAAATAATTGCACCAACCACTCCAAAACTATATCCCCACCTGCTTTTAAACATTTCTATCTTATTCCCATCAATCCCGGCTGCCTTACCCCCTTTCATTTTACCTACTGCCTCCGAACTTCCCCCACACTCACAACTGGCTCTTCCTCACTCCTACAAGATGTTATTCCTCCTTGCCTATACACGAAATCACAGCTTCCCTATCTTCATCAACATTTAACAATTCTCAAAATATTCCCTCCATCTTCCCAATACCTCTAACTCTCCATTTAATAACTCTCCTCTCCTATTTTTAACTGACAAATCCATTTGTTCTCTAGGCTTCTTAACTTGTTAATCTCACTCCAAAACTTTTTCTTATTTCAACAAAATTTGTTGATAACATCTCACCCACTCTCTCATTTGCTCTCTTTTTACATTGCTTCACCACTCTCTTAACCTCTCTCTTTTTCTCCATATACTCTTCCCTCCTTGCATCACTTCTACTTTGTAAAAACTTCTCATATGCTAACTTTTTCTCCCTTACTACTCTCTTTACATCATCATTCCACCAATCGCTCCTCTTCCCTCCTGCACCCACTTTCCTGTAACCACAAACTTCTGCTGAACACTCTAACACTACATTTTTAATTCCTACCCCATACCTCTTCGACCCCATTGCCTATGCTCTCATTAGCCCATCTATCCTCCAATAGCTGTTTATATCTTACCCTAACTGCCTCCTCTTTTAGTTTATAAACCTTCACCTCTCTCTTCCCTGATGCTTCTATTCTCCTTGTATCCCATCTACCTTTTACTCTCAGTGTAGCTACAACTAGAAAGTGATCTGATATATCTGTGGCCCCTCTATAAACATGTACATCCTGAAGTCTACTCAACAGTCTTTTATCTACCAATACATAATCCAACAAAACTACTGTCATTCGCCCTACATCATATCTTGTATACTTATTTATCCTCTTTTTCTTAAAATATGTATTACCTATAACTAAACCCCTTTCTATACGAAGTTCAATCAAGGGCTCCCATTATCATTTACACCTGGCACCCAAACTTACTACCACACCCTCTCTAAAAGTTTCTCCTACTTTAGCATTCAGGTCCCCTACCACAATTACTCTCTCACTTGGTTCAAAGGCTCCTATACATTCACTTAACATCTCCCAAAATCTCTCTCTCTCCTCTGTATTCCTCTCTTCTCCAGGTGCATACACGCTTATTATGACCCACTTCTCGCATCCAACCTTAACTTTAATCACATAATTCTTGAAATTTCCACATTTCATATTCTCTTTCTCCTTCCATAACTGATCATTTAACATTACTGCTACCCTTCCTTTGCTCTAACTCTCTCAGATACTCCTGATTTAATTCCATTTATTTCCCCCCACTGAAACTCTCCTACCCCCTTCAGCTTTGTTTCGCTTAGAGCCAGGACATTCCAACTTCTTTTCATTCATAACATCAGCAATCATCTGTTTCTTGTCATCCGCACTACATCCACGCACATTTAAGCATCCCAGTTTTATAAAGTTTTTCTTCTTCTCTTTTTTAGTAAATGTATACAGGAGAAGGGGTTACTAGCCCATTGCTCCCGGCATTTTAGTCGCCTCATACGACACGCATGGCTTACGGAGGAAAGATTCTTTTCCACTTCCCCATGGACAATAGAAGAAATAAAAAAGAACAAGAGCTATTTAGAAAAAGGAGAAAAACCTAGATGTATGTATATATATATATATATGCATGTGCGTGTCTGTGAAGTGTGACCAAAGTGTAAGTAGGAGTAGCAAGATATCCCTGTTATCTAGCGTGTTTATGAGACGTTCCAGAATTGTTTCTCTACTTAGGGCATAGGTTATAAGACATTCTGAAAGGGTATTGCACAAATGTTACACATTGGTTATTATCGAGGTTTTTGATATTTCCTCGACCACTTGTGGCCACATCCACCTCAAAGCCACCAAACTTGGAGTCATCACTTTCCTCTTAAAAGGGGAGTGTTAATATGACATCAGTGAATCCTTGGTGTTTGCCGCATTGTTTTCTCTAGCTGGCGCTCAATATAACTGGCACTCCCACAAGGTTCTAAGTGGTCCCAGTTTTTTAATACTATGCACAATGAGTGTTAAGACTCTTTCTATGCTGACCAGGCATCTCGGGCCAATTATACCAAATTTTGAGGCAGGAGAAATAAGACGTAAATATACATTTGGGGCACTAGTAATAAGAACGTATATATACATTTGAACCGTTTAGAGGTTAAAAAAATGTATAGGTACAACAACCTTGTGGCACCTTCCTCCTGAGGACAACACAGGGAGGAAGGAAAAGAAATATGAGATACATACCTGGAGACACTCTCAAGTCAACTTGGCTCAACTTGATATCTACGTGTTCTGCATGGCTGGGGGTCACACTGCACAAAAGTGACAATTCACATTTATTCAGGATCTTAAAAAAAAAAAAAAGGACATGAAGCTGTTATGTTTCATTAATTTTATACAAATACAGTACTACTAATAGTACCAGTACAAACACTTGGAACATGATGTAAAGGAAAAAAGAAAAACTAAATAACACATACAGGTCGGCCACCACTAATCCGGCAATCAGTTATCCGGTTCCATCAGTATTCCGGTACTAATTTCAGCTAGCATAATTTCAAATGTCATCCTTATACTGACTCAAATTTCATCCTTATACTGACTCAGAAATTGTGCAGATAGATGTAAATCCACAGCAGCAAGCCAGTGAAGGAGAAAGCAGTGATAAAAATGAGTAAGATGTACAAGAGTCTCCATTGACAGGTTAAGTGTATTCTAACCTAACCACTCTGTAATCCGGCAAACTCGCTAATCTGGCACGCTACAGGTCCCAATGATGCCGGATTAGTGATGGTTGACCTGTACTATGCTCAAATTTGTACATTAGCTATAAACCACCCACCTCTTGACAACAAATATACAGTGTCTAGCCTACTTACCTAACAACTTGTGTGTAAATACTAGGGGTTTACCAGGGTCAGTAGTGGTGGTACTGGCTCATTTTCGTGGCATATGTACTGGCGTAATATTGACTATTGGTACCAATGGGTATCAGCTAATTTTAATGGTGTTGGTATTGGCCTAAAATTAAGCATCAGTATTGGCAAAAAATTTTTAACATCCCATTCCCAGTAAATACAGAAATCTACAACTTTGTGAAGACATAATGACTCACTGAGAGCTGAGTGACAGTGAAAGCCAAACAACTGCCATCCTACCAGAAATGTAAACGTCACTGTCACCGCAAAGTAAGGCAACACCACATACCCAAACCAAGACAGCGGCACACAGATCATATAGTGGCACTACTAAGTGGTGATATCCAACCTAATCTAAGCCCTCATACTATGGTACAGATGCAAAACAAGCAGACAAGTGACGGTGCTAATGACGGTCTAGTAGCTAGGAATAATGACCTTAACTCTGCCTTGGTGGGAATCGGCCGGTGTGATAATAATAAAAATAAAAAAACTCTACATGTAATGCATACATAGATCAATGTGAGACAATAGAACCATTCTTATCTCAGACACCACCAGACATATGTATACACTGTACTAAGGTACGAAAGATGAACAGAAAATATACCTTACATAAATTGTGTAAAGGGTGGGTCCACAGGGAAGTGTCCTTGGCCCTCTTCTCTTTCTCATTTACATAAACGACCTAGCAAATGCATGGCAACTACTCAAACCCACACTATTTGCAGATGACACTACATACATCTTCTCTCACCCAAGCCCAGTCATGCTAGCCAATAATGTAAATACCGAATTACAGAAAATATTACTCTCAATATTAACAAAACCTACTTCATACAGTTTGGAAACAGAACGACAGATGTCCCTCTTGACATAATGATAAATGGACCACCTATCACAAAGCTCACAGAGGGAAAATTCTTAGGAATCCACCTTGATAATAGACTCAAATTTCAAACACACATACAACACATTTCCGAGAAAATCTCCAAGACCGTAGGCATATTATCAAAGATACAGTACTTTGTTCCACATTCAGCCCTCCTGGCCCTATATCACTCACTCATTTACCCCTATCTCATCTATGGAATTTGTGCATGGGGCTCAACAACAATAAACCATCTCAGACCATTAATTGCCCAACAAAAGGCTGCAGTCAGAATGATAACAAATTCCCACTACAGGCAGCATACTCCACCAATATTCAAAACTCTAAGCCTACTCACCGTACAAAACATCCATACTTATTATTTTTTTTATTATTTTTATTATCACACTGGCCGATTCCCACCAAGGCAGGGTGGCCCGAAAAAGAAAAACTTTCACCATCATTCACTCCATCACTGTCTTGCCAGAAGGGTGCTTTACACTACAGTTTTTAAACTGCAACATTAACACCCCTCCTTCAGAGTGCAGGCACTGTACTTCCCATCTCCAGGACTCAAGTCCGGCCTGCCGGTTTCCCTGAATCCCTTCATAAATGTTACCTTGCTCACACTCCAACAGCACGTCAAGTATTAAAAACCATTTGTCTCCATTCACTCCTATCAAACACGCTCACGCATGGGCCCGGAAGTCCAAGCCCTCGCACACAAACCTCCTTTACCCCCTCCCTCCAAAACCCCCCCTAGGCCCCACCCCTACCCCGCCTTCCTTCTACAGACTGATACACTTTGAAGTTATTCTTTCGCTCCATTCTCTCTACAAAGTCCGAACCCCCTCAAAAACCCTTCCTCAGCCTTGGACAACAGTTTTGGTAATCCCGCACCTCCTCCTAACTTCCAAAATACGAATTTCTGCATTTTTATTCACACCACACATTGCCCTCAGACATGACATCTCCACTGCCTCCAGCCTTCTCCTCGCTTGCAACATTCATCACCATGCTTCACACCCATATAAGAGCGTTGGTAAAACTATACTCTCTTTACATTCCCCTCTTTGCCTCCAAGGACAAAGTTTCTCTGTCTCCACAGACTCCTAAGTGCACCACTCACTTCTTTTTTCCACTCATCAATTTATGATTCCTCATCTTTATAACCATCCGCTGACACGTCCACTCCAAATTCCTGATACGTTCACTCCTCCATACTCTCTCCCTCCAATCTGATATTCAATCTTTCATCACCACTTATTATTGTACTTACTATTGTACTTATTATTGTACTTACTAAATACATAGAACACTTAACTCTGATATAAACCCTCCCCTCAAACTTCTCTTTACCAACCACAACAGAACACATGACCATAACACAAGGCATAGATCACTCTTTGATGTTCCTCGTGTCCATCTCACACTATGTAAAAATGCAATGCACATAAAAGGCCCAAAAATTAGGAATTCATTACCTGTGAATATAAAAGAAACACTGTCTTTTTATCAAATCAAGGCTCATCTTAAAAACCACTTATTCACCCACAACTAAATAAATACTGATTAACTATCTCAAACTATGTTCTTTGTAATTACATTACCTAATAGAATACTCCATTCTCTTGAATGCTCAGTAACTCATCAAATTTGATACAAATTTGTACAACTATAAAGCCTCTTATTTGAAATACTCATTTGTACTTCATGTTGTAATTTGTTTACTGTAATTTTTACCACTTAATATATCATTGCTTAGTTAATCTTAAGTTAGTTTTAAGCCTGCCCACAATGCTCTGCATAAAAGGGGCTTTTGGCATGTACACTCAACCACTGTATTTCTTTTGTACAACTATGTATCATGTCCAAATAATAATAAAATAAAATAAAAATAAAATAATGGACATATGTTCGATTATAGTAATGGTGCCACATTTCATTTTGTTTGCAACGAATGCACCTTGGCACACTTACCCTTTAGCAATGATGAAACTGATTTCCCTAATTTTAACGCAAATGACCCATTGCCATATATTGAGGGTCATTGCCATATATTGATGATTATGATTCTTTTATGAAACCAGGCCTTCACTTTAATCCTAATCTCTGCCAAAATTGGCAGAGATTAGGAGTCTAGCTAACAGAACTAGGGCAGCAGTTATATCCATCATCCTGGTTGGACAATACGGTGACTGACGAAGAGGTCAAAATAGAAGGTTACAATATAAAATGTTTAGATAAGAATACAAAAGGTGGTGGGTTATGTGCCTACATAAGAAATGACTTAGCCTATAATCTAAGACCTGATTTAACCCTTAAACTGTCCAAATGTTGATCTACCTTCACCTGCGTGACGCTCTGAATACTTTGAGAAATAAAAAAATCGTTTTTTGTTTTTAAATTAAAGAGGGCAATTTTCTGTGTGGTACACAACCAAAACAAAAAAGATATAAGATATAAGACCACTAAGTTGGCTCTGGATGCTCACCTGAGGGCAACATCCAGTCCTGCAGCTTGCAGAAGTGTTGCCGATTTACCTTTTTTTCTCGTTATTTAATTTACATAATTTTTATGTTCTGATAATTACAATTTATAATAGTTCTTGTGATTTCATAGCCAATCTTTGTTCTGACAATATTTTTTTTTTTTTTTTATTATCACACTGGCCGATTCCCACCAAGGCAGGGTGGCCCGAAAAAGAAAAACTTTCACCATCATTCACTCCATCACTGTTTTGCCAGAAGGGTGCTTTACACTACAGTTTAAACTGCAACATTAACATCCCTCCTTCAGAGTGCAGGCACTGTACTTCCCATCTCCAGGACTCAAGTCCGGCCTGCCAGTTTCCCTGAACCCCTTCATAAATGTTACTTTGCTCACACTCCAACAGCACGTCAAGTATTAAAAACCATTTGTCTCCATTCACTCCTATCAAACACGCTCACGCATGCCTGCTGGAAGTCCAAGCCCCTCGCACGCAAAACCTCCTTTACCCCCTCCCTCCAACCTTTCCTAGGCCGACCCCTACCCCGCCTTCCTTCCACTACAGACTGATACACTCTTGAAGTCACTCTGTTTCGCTCCATTCTCTCTACATGTCTGAACCACCTCAACAACCCTTCCTCAGCCCTCTGGACAACAGTTTTGGTAATCCTGCACCTCCTCCTAACTTCCAAACTACAAATTCTCTGCATTATATTCACACCACACATTGCCCTCAGAGATGACATCTCCACTGCCTCCAGCCTTCTCCTCGCTGCAACATTCATCATCCATGCTTCACACCCATATAAGAGCGTAGGTAAAATTATACTCTCATACATTCCCCTCTTTGCCTCCAAGGACAAAGTTCTTAGTCTCCACAGACTCCCAAGTGCACCACTCACCCTTTTCCCCTCATCAATTCTATGATTCACCTCATCTTTCATAGACCCATCTGCTGACACGTCCACTCCCAAATATTTGAATACATTCACCTCCTCCATACTCTCTCCCTCCAATCCGATATCCAATCTTTCATCACCTAATCTTTTTGTTATCCTCATAACCTTACTCTTTCCTGTATTCACTTTTAATTTTCTTCTTTTGCACACCCTACCAAATTCATCCACCAATCTCTGCAACTTCTCTTCAGAATCTCCCAAGAGCACAGTGTCATCAGCAAAGAGCAACTGTGACAACTCCCACTAATATTATGAACTGAAATAGTATTCAAATAGTAACAATCACACTGACAGGCCCTGGTCATTTACTATTGTCTAGAAATATATACAAAGTATTTATAGGTTCCAGCAATGTTTTAGACATGCTGGAGTATGAACCTTCTTGAAGAATGGTGTTATGACAAGGGTCAGATAAGTAACAGCCAATGACATTTGATGAATGTGCACTGCTGGAGGGAACTTTGCCTTTGTGTGTTTTTACTCTTGCACACAAACATGTCTTTGTATGTCAGTCTGTCTGCCCATCTGTCTGTATTTGTCTGTCTGCCTAACTCTGCTTATCTGTCTAGTTCAGCTTATCTGTCTTTGTCTTGTGTGTGTGCCTGGAGTATTATATGAAACTCCTTGAAGAATGGTGTTATGACAAGCACCAGATAATAAGTGACATTTGATGAATGTGTGCTGCTGGAGGGGGGAACCTTGCCTTTATATGTTTTTACTCTTGCACACAAACATGTCTCTGTATGTCTGTCTGTCAGTCTATCTGTACCCGTCTGCCTATCTAGCTCTGCTTATCTGTCTAGTTCTGCTTGTCTGCCTTTCTATCTGCCTGTGTGTGTGTGTGTGTGTGTCTGTCTCCATTTGCTTGTCTGTCTCAGGGAGCAGCTGGTAAACCTGTTGGTTTGTGGTTTATGGGCAGCTCCCAGATCGCTGAGCAAGTGACACTGCTATTACTTTTGTCATGTTGTCTTATATCTACAAATACTGTACAGCACTTGGCCTGGATTTTTGGGTTATCCTAGGTAATTTACATTATGTATAGTAACTGTATTTATGAGTACATGTGAAAGATAGAGATATAGACAGAGATACAGATAGACAGTGATTATTACCTTCACAAAAATATACTCTAATTCTGTAAGAAAAAATAATTTTTTTTTTCAAAATTTCTTGGACACTGGAGCACCACTTCAGATTTTGGCCTTGGACCCTAAAGGGGTTAACCTTATCTAAGTTCTATTTAAATGTTATCAAATTTGAAGTACAGTTAGGGTAAGCAAATAAACCAAACATCATTACAAAACTGAACCTAGCAAAATATAATATGCTCATGCATAAAATACATCATTGTGTGAACAACTGAACAGAAGTAATGCAGCCCATCAGCTGAGGCCTCATTTAGCTGTTCAGCCGAGATCTCTTATCACCTTGATTTTCTTCTTAACACAAAAATTTGAACACTAACTTCTTGCCACTTCCAGCATCACTCATATTCCTCTTGGGTGTTATGGTTACTATGCAGATACAAGACATAATGAAAATATAAAAAAAATTATTAATTAACAGAGCTCAATATGGAATGGGATGTGTATGCACAGAGCACTGAGGCATGAGGTAGTGTACATTAAGTGCAACTAGGCCTCTCCCATAAAGACAGTGGCCTAACCCACAGTCTAGCTGCCTGTGAGATGGAGGGAAAAGCTCCTGCAGTCTAGTCCTGCAGCACTCCACATTTCTCTCTAAAATTTGCACTGTCATAAATGAACTTCTGAGCCATGATTGAAAAAATGCTACGATTTTGCAACTACCATATCAAAAATATTCTAGGAGATTGCATCTTAATCGAAAGTCTAACATATTTTATTAAAAAATAATGCAACAATGAGAAGACTCGGCTAAATATTACGGATCAATCATAGAAACCCATCATTAAGAGAAATTATACAATAGGTACAGCCATACTTTACTACATCATACATAATTTTAGGTATAATAATAATATAAGCAACCACTGAAGAGCAATAGTGTACCTGTGCAAGTGTCTTCTGTCTATTTTGGGGATTATAACAGCAGGTATACATCTGAAGGTTGGCAATGCTGGCACTGATGTTCTGAGACATTGGGGTCTGCTTGATGTCACTGTTCACTTCTGCCTGTATTGCAAGGTGTGAAAGTATTAGATATGAACACAGGATTAATACTGTTAGTTTTTTTCATACTTTTACCTTTAAAAACACTAATATCTGCCATTACACAAAGACCTGGGCTGTTATCCATACACAATTCTTCACACTCCCTCAAGGATATATTGCAAGGACTACTGATACAGCTGTAAGTGAAACCACACAAGCACAAACTGCTAAACAAAACTGACAAAGGCCTGAGTTGTTTCTTCACACATTTTTTTATACTTATTAACCCTTTCCAATCAGTAGTTTTTTTTCCTTTTTAACACACTGGCCATCTCCCACAGAGCCAGGGTGGCCCAAAAAAGAAAAAAACTTTCACCATTATTCACATAATCACTGTCCTTATAGAGGCACCCAGATACTACAGTTCAGATGTTACTCCAAACAGCCAATAACTCAAACCCCTCCTTTAAAGTGCAGGCATTGTACTTCCCACCTCCAGGACTCGTGTCTGGCTAACCGGTTTCCCCGAATCCCTTAAAAATATTACCATGCTCACACTCGAACAGCTCATCGAGTCCCAAAAGCCATTCATCTCCATTCACTTCTATCTAACACGCTTACACATGCTTGCTACATATCCAAGCCCCTCCCACCCAAAACCTCTTTTACCCCTTCCCTCCATCAGGTGGAGGCAGCCACAACCCCTCCCTCTTCTTTGTTGTGGTAAACACTGCCATCTAGTGATGGCCTTTTGAAGCCGTCTATTATTATAATTATTATGTAGTACATTATTATTATATATGTATTATTATGTAGTACATTATTATTATATATGTATTATCATACGTGTTATTATTATTATTGTACTATATTATACTGTTGTCCAGAGGGCTGAGGAAGGGTTGTTGAGGTGGTTCGGACATGTAGAGAGAATGGAGCGAAACAGAATGACTTCAAGAGTGTATCAGTCTGTAGTGGAAGGAAGGCGGGGTAGGGGTTGGCCTAGGAAAGGTTGGAGGGAGGGGGTAAAGGAGGTTTTGTGTGCGAGGGGCTTGAACTTCCAGCAGGCGTGCGTGAGTGTGTTTGATAGGAGTGAATGGAGACAAATGGTTTTTAATACTCGACGTGCTGTTGGAGTGTGAGCAAAGTAACATTTATGAAGGGGTTCAGGGAAACCGGCAGGCCGGACTTGAGTCCTGGAGATGGGAAGTACAGTGCCTGCACTCTGAAGGAGGGGTGTTAATGTTGCAGTTTAAAAACTGTAGTGTAAAGCACCCTTCTGGCAAGACAGTGATGGAGTGAATGATGGTGAAAGTTTTTCTTTTTCGGGCCACCCTGCCTTGGTGGGAATCGGCCAGTGTGATAATAAATAAAAAAAAATTATACTATTATTATTATACGTATTATACGTATTATTATTATACATATTATTATTATTATTATATGCATTATTATTATTACAATATAAATAATTTGTAATTTTTCTTCACACAAAAAATATAAGATTTACTGTTATGCCTTATTGTAATAATTGTATAAATAATGTCAACCCATTCACTACTGCATACTGGAATAGACAGTGACATCATTTATTTACTCTTGAACATGGCCAAAACAACTGAACATTTCTCCTACGTTGAGCTCAATTTTAAGGTACTTTTCTTTGTGAAAGCAACCAAAATCATATCTATTTCTGCAATATATCTTCATTCTATCAAATGAGACCAAAAAACCGAGAATACAACCATAAAAACCATACGAAAATACTGTTAAGGGGTGGCTAATTGCCGAGAAGTGAACTCCATTATTTATGCATAGATTTCTCTCATTTTTGGTGTATGTTAAGAAGCACCTTTCCATCATATATTGCCCAAGTTTCAATAAGATAGTCCAACAAACAAATGAGATATAATTCCCTAGATCAAGAGCAAGAGCCCCTCACCAGCGTCAAGGACCCTGGCTCGAGGTCTGCTCGCTTATGGAAATTTTGCTTGTGTATGGAAGCAAAAAATCGATCCATCGACTGCTTGTATTTGGAAAAACTCGCACATGGATGCGCTCGCAAGTAGAGGTTCCACTGTATATATCATGTTTCTAAGTTATTAATATTGTTTATTATGTCACATTAGATGAATTGTGATAGATAAATAAGCCGTAGAGTTGGTAATCGCGTCATAGTGAAGTACTATTCTGTCATTCTTCCTGACAGCAGGAATGGATTAATTGGATTTCCATTATTTCTTATGGGGAAAATTAACTCGGATAATGATAAAATCGGGTAAGGACAAGCTCTCTGGAACGGATTAATATTGTTAACTGAGGGTCCACTGCACTTCTTTCAGCCATCTAGGAAATGATTAACACACATTCTTTAAGACCAACTCATCCATACCAAACAAAAATTTGTCTATTTCCTGTCTCTTCACCATTGCTTATAAAAGTGTTCGAAAGCCTGAATAAGATTAAAGAATTAATACATGCTTAAATTTGTACTATTTTTGCCACCTCTCCATTTTGTAATAATGCATACATGTACTTAAAATTGTACCACTTTATACCTATGTACAGTCTTGTGAAGTCTGTAAGCATTAGGATTAGTCTGCCCAAAATGCACTTGCATACTAGTTGCTTTCTTTCATGCTTAACAATATTTTATTACATGTAAACAATATTTATGTACTGCACAAAGAAATATGCTTTATTTGACGGAGTGAATTCTCCCATGATCAAGTCAGCATCCTAAAACCATGAGTGGGTTGATATCCTTTCTCTAGAAGATCCCTGGATGTATTTTGGCATGGGCATGTCATTAACACTGTCCTCAAGGAACCAATGCAACCACTGCACTGGATGCTCACCCATACTTGATCACTGAAACCACATATAGGTGAGTACACTGGTGGCTTCTATTTCCTTCATTTGAATTGTCTGCCTTATGTAATCCAATGAGCTTTGAAACTTTCTCATGTCACCAACATACTCCTGTCCACACTAATTCATTAATAGGGTTAGTGGAGGAATATTGGAGGATGTGTAATGGAGGAAATTTTAAATGAATAAAACAGAAAAGAGCACGTTACTGAGAGTAATAATTAGCATAGGCAATGCAAGATTGGATATTAGATGGGATGGAGTATTAAAGAAGTGAATGTATACAGATATTTGGAAGTGGACATATTGGCATATGGTCTGTGAAAAACAAAGATTACCACAGAATAAACAAGGAGAAAAAGGTAGTCATGTCAAGGCATTTATGGACAGAATCTTATCTATAAATGAAAAAAAGGAAAAAGTACCATAGAACAATGGCACCATTACTGTCTAAGAGTGCAAGGGATGAGTTTTAACCCTTTCAGGGTTTAGACCCCTGATTTGAAATCTGTCCACAGGATCCAAGAATTTAAAAAAAAAAAAAAAAAAAAAATATCGAACAAAATGGTAGAGAATCTTTTCCAGAAGGTAATACAGCAAAAAGAACAAAATATGACGGAAAATTGATGAAATTACACTATTGCGAATTTTGCTAAGTCAGCAATATTTACGCATCGGCGATTTTGCCCACTTTGAGTCCTATTTTAAGCCAATTACAGTGGACCCCCAGATATTGGACGGTACGGATATCAGACAAATTGGATTTCAGCCGCTATTTTGGCCAAAATTCTATCCTGGATATCGGCCAGCAACTGAGAAATCGGCTGTATTGGACGCATCCACCCTCCACACCATGTGCTTGAATCAGTCTGGCTGTGTCTCTCGGTGAGTGAGCAACACTCCATGCATTCATCCAAACATTTCGTTTAAATCCATTGTTTTTTGTGGTTGTTTATTCAGTGCAACTGTGAAATAAGCCACCATGGGCCCAAACAAAGTTCCCAGTGCCAGCCCTTAGGTAAAGAAAGTGAGAAACATGACAGAATTCAAGAAAGAAATTGTAGCAAAGTAGGGAGATTCCCCATCCAAACAATAATCAGTCCCCCATCTCTTCTCTCTGTCTTCCATACACCAACAAGAATCTTCAATAAAGGTAAATGTGATGTTAAATGTTCATTTATCCAATTCATTAGTCATTTTAATTAGTTCTCATTGTTTTGTGTATGTAAAGCTATAGCTAATCTTTAAAAAATGTATTTTTTGTTAATATTTTTGGGTGTCTGGAATGGATTAATTTTTTTTTCTTTTTTCTTTCTCTCTCTCTCTCAACAAGTCGGACGTCTCCCACCGAGGCAGGGTGACCCAAAAAGAAAGAAAATCCCCAAAAAGAAAATACTTTCATCATCATTCAACACTTTCACCTCACTCACACAATCACTGTTTTTGCAGAGGTGCCCAGAATACAACAGTTTAGAAGTATATACGTATAAAAATACACTATATATGCCTCCAAACTGCCAATATCCCAAACCCCTCCTTTAGAGTGCAGACATAATACTTCCCATTTCCAGGACTCAAGTCCTGTTATATAAAATAACCAGTTTCCCTGAATCCCTTCACTAAATATTACCCTGCTCACACTCTAACACCTCATCAGGTCCCAAATACCATTCGTCTCCATGCGCTCCTATCTAACACACTTGCTGTAAGTCCAAATCCCTCACCCACAACACCTCCTTTACTCCCTCCGTCCAACCTTTTCGAGGACGACCCCTACCCCGCCTTCCTTCCCCTACAGATTTATACGCTCTCCATGTCATTCTACTTCGATCCATTCTCTCTAAATGACCAAACCACCTCAACAAACCCTATTCAGCCCTCTGACTAATACTTTTATTACTCCACACCTTCTCCTAATTTCCACACTCCGAATTTTCTGCATATTTACACCACACATTGCCTTTAGACAAGATATCTCCACTGCCTCCAACCGTCTCCTCGCTGCAGCATTTACAACCCAAGCTTCATACCCATATAAGAGTGTTGGTACTGCTATACTTTCATATATTCCCTCCTTTGCCTCCATACATAACATTTTTTGCCTCCACATATACCTCAATGCACCACTCACCTTTTTTCCTTCATCAATT